TTTATACGCCGATACCGTGTTATTTTTATAGGCGTATTGTATACAATGTATGAAAACTGTGTAGTGTACGAGGACTCTAATAAATAGTCTACTGTTAAAGGATAGAGGACCGGATCTTATATCCTGTTGGTCTTTATTTCCCGACGTACGTCAACTGAATTATTCATTATGTTCATCCGAGTGTAGTCACATACCGAAAGGGAAGACGTGAGGCTTTGGATCTTTGCCACCGGCTTACATGGAATAGAGACAAACAGTATGAAAATTGGTTGAATTTGTTATTTAATCTTAGTCTGGTAATATTTGAAGATAACTTCCCTCGGCGCGATCTTAAGATGTAAGAAAGTCACGAATATTATGATTTACTAACATTGCCCGCGGCTCCGCTCGCGTTCAGATGACCAAAAACCAAATTCTTAGGTTCTACATATAAGTTTACTCTTACATTGCAGTTTTTGTTTTTTTTTCTTAGAAATGAGATATTTTCTCGCGGTAAAAAGTATCCTATATGTTGACCGGGATAACCAGCTATCATCATACCAAATTTCATCAAAATCCCTCCAGTGGTTTTTCCGTGATGCGGTATCAGACAGACAGACAGAAAGACAGACAAAAATCCTAAAAACTGTAGATTCGGCCTCAATAATAGTAGGAGTATACTAATATGTAAAACCTAAGAATTTGATTTTTGGTCAACTGAACGCGGGCGGAGCCGCGGGCAATGCTAGTATGCTATAAAAATTAACCTACTAGATACCAATATTGATGATTACAATGGGGCATACCAAATCTGCTTTTGGGATGTTTTATTTCACAATTTACTTTACAGTAAGGGTTGTCTTGATATTATGTTATGTTTATTTATAGCTCGTCAGCACTTTAAATGAATCGTTTATAATAAAATTGATTGCAAATTCGCACTCTGCTAAAGTAGCATCTCATAATAAGAGATGACCAAAAATGGTCACTTAAAATTTTCAACCATCCAAATTATATTCTCAAAGAAAAATGTATTAACATTAAATGCATTGTGACACATGACGAGGTTTTCACTTTGTCCAAGAAACGAAAATGACAAGGTTTATTAATGGGTGGGACTGGTTTTTAACCGACTTTAAAAAGTGGTGTACTAATATTATAAACGCAATAATAAAGAACTTTAGAGTAACATAGACAGTGTATTAAGATAGTCCATAATTCCATACTTAATATTATAAATGTGAAAGTGTGTTTGTTTGTTTGTTTGTTTGTCTTTCTTTCACTTCGAAATGAAGTGACGGATTGGCGTGATTTTTGTGTGTGAAGATAGTTGGAAAGCTGGAGAGTGATATAGGCTACTTTTTATCGCGGGAAAAACACGTTATAATACAATCCAAAAATTTATTTTTGATCAGAATTACTTGATACTTGGTATTAATGCTCTTAAATACAAATAAATAATCTATACGTGTTTTAGCATTTTTCGAAATTCATTCTTTAAGGGCGTAAAATAGGGGATGAAATTTGTATGAAACCTAGGTACCTGCCTTTTAGAGATTTTTTTGTAGTTTGAGCGCGAGCGAAGCCGCGAGTTCTGGTAGCAATTCATAAATGTATTATGTGGGTAGAATCGCGGGAAAATGCTAGTAGGTTATACGTAGAGATGATACTTTTTCATAGGTATTTTAACATTTTTGGCGCTACAATTAATACAAAGAGATGGCGATTACGCGGAATGAGCTTTAACGATCTTTAATGTCTGTTTAATGATTTATGAACGGGAAAGAATAAAAGGTCTCTCATAGGAAACCGCCTACGCGTTCGTGCTCGCGTCGTGCATTGTGCTTTATGCAAGTTGTAAATATTTTCTTGTTTTATTTTCATATGCTTTTTTTATTTTTAATAATGAAGTTTTTAGAGCGAGCTGTACAATACTTAGGTGATTAATAATTTTTTAGTATAATTATTCTTTAAAACAATATAGTTCATTGTATATTTGATAAAAAAATTGAATTAATTAGTTAATATATTAATATTTAATATTTTATTAGCACTTCAAACAAACCGAGAACTTATATCCCATGTCTTATAAAATATTCGGTTCAACACAGTATGTCGCAAGAATGGTTGCGAGATTTGTTACACCTTAAAATACTCGTACACTGTCAGCTCCGTTAAGTCTTGCCACAGTATAAAAAATCATACAGTATGCCCATTCATTTTAACGGTAATGCTGTCAAATGCAAGGGTTGTCAAAAATACTACTCTTTATATGGTAAACTATTTTGTAGTTAAAGCACTGTAAAACCATAACCCAGTTATCTTATTGTATTGTATTCAGCCCTTTTTAACGTCCCACTGTTGGGCACGGGATTTCCTTTAATACGTAGGACCAGGCCATAGTCCACCACGCTGGCCAAGCGCTAGTTGGCAGACTTCACATATCATTCGAAAACTTGCTAGGTTCTCTCGGACATAGAGGTTTCCTCACGATGTTTTCCTTCACCGTAAGACAAGTGGTCATCATGTTGGAAACGAATCGCACATGAAAATATCAGACGTTCGAGACACGGGATTTGAACCCGCTTCACTCGGTTTTGAAAACGAGCGGGTTACGACTGGGCTACCATTGCTTTTCGTCGCTCTTTTTTCTTTCTTACCATATAAAAGTACACGCGGCAAACCTTGTCTGATTGCTCTGTCTAGACTCTTTCGTTAGACTACTGTGTACATTAGTAGCCTGTGGTATCACGATCTGTCATATGAACAGTCAACCAGGCGCAGATTGTGTCTTTGTCACTCGTGATGGACATCTGAATTGATTTCACGCTCCTTCCGACTTATACACAAGATGCCTTAGCGCCCACAGTTATATGTGAACGAAGATTGATGAGAACTGAGAAGCTTTTGAATAGAACCATACATGTGTACATGTATTTCTTAAATATTCGTATAAGATCCAAGTACGAGAAAAAGTGCTTTTAAATCTCAAGTTTTGAATGGAGAGACATAGTGTCTGTCTGCGGCTTGGTAGATATATTTGTCATCAGTAAAATTAACAACCGATGCCAGAAATACATTACGGCTAAATACTACTAAACTAATCTATATACTATATAAAGTAATTTAAATATAATTTAACTAAAATTTAAACATACGAGGAAATCGGTTTTAACGACACGCATTTTCATACAGTAAACATGGGAAAATCTATAGACAAAAATTTGCTTCATTTTGGGTTATTTCGGTATTTCTAATATTTCCAAGAAGCAAAGTATAACAAAAAATATGAACAAACGTAACATCAATTATGTTATAGTAGATATATGTACAGTATAATAAGTATATATTTTATTCACAAAACAATATTATAGAAACTACCTTATAATAATTTTGAGTAGGTATAGATGTCACAGTGAAAATGCAAATAAGTTAATTTTTCAATGAGGCGTAGCGGGGCGGGTCGTTAAAGTTTTATGTTGCCGGTCACGTCACGAAACGATACGGGAAATACGTACCGTTTCCGAAGGTCACTTTTCTTTGGACTTGCTTTATGGTTTTCGATATCACACGCAATGTATAAACTCCTTAATAAGTTTCGATCGTTATCAGTATTATCGGGATCAATGGCTTTGAATTTCTTATCAGCTGTACGAAGTGATTTTGAACAGATTAGAAATGAGTACATAATAAAAGCATATTTTATTTATTTATCGACTTTTAAACGTAGCTATACTTAATTTGGGTACTCCTACCCTAATATAATAAATATGTGTGTATGTTTGTTATGAATGTCTCACGATATTATCGTCAATATTAAGTAGATGAATTATAATATTATAATTGATATATAACTCACTGGTACCAAAAAACAAAAATGAGATGGGTGGAATAATTAATTTGAAGTGATTTCAAAATCGATTTTGCTTTTTTGTCAAAAGTTTTATTAATACTTTTTACTTAACTTAATATATTTTACAATATTAATAACAAGAGAATAATTAATAATATCTGTAGAAAAATTTAAATCACAATCAGGCATTTGTTTTGTTCAATATAAGTAAACCAAAATGTATACATTCAAGAAATGTCTTTCAAAGCCCACTAAATGGTTAGCTTTTCTAGGCCGTCTAAGTTTGCTTTTAACAAACCGATTGACCTATATGTCACATCGATTTTTAGTATCGCTTCGAATAATAGAAAAGAAGCCAAAGGTCAAAAGCTGTTTTTTCTTATTATCTTGAAACTACTATCTTAAAAATGTAAAGTAAATGGAGCATGTAATGTAATCAATAGTTACCTCGTAAAACACCCTCATGCAGTCATTTAGGTCACGCAGACCTAGGTCCAACCCACAATAAAACCTACGTCGACACTTTCATTTTATCAATGTCGATTCATTTTTTATTACTACTGTAGCATATGTACCTGTCCAGTCCTTGGCACAACCAACTACATGCCGCTAGAATTACATCTATACTAATATTATAAATGTGACAGTGTGTTTGTATGGTCGTTTGTTTGTTTGTCCTTCTTTCACTCGAAAAACAGTGACGGATTGGTGTGACTTTTTGTGTGGATATAGTTGGAGAGCTGAAGAATGACATGGGCTAATTTTTGTTGCGGGAGATTATGTCATTTCCACAGGAAAACACGTTATAATACAACCCACAACAACTCTTACCTATGTATATATGTATATAAAATATATTGTCTATTCTATACTAATCGTTAAAACGCACTTAGGGACGAACCCGAGCGATAATGTTAATTAATTTATACAACGCTATTTAATTATGTAACAATTATGTTAATTACATAATATATGTATTAGTATTGTCAAATAAGCTTAATCTCATAGGTTCTACTTTTAGTTTCTATTTCAATGAAAAAAAAATCAGATCATTTCAATGAAAAATATCTATTATATTGTTATCCGATAGCGACTTCGAAGATATGACTACATCTTTAATTATTTATAAGTGAATCGAAATTAATAGTTTTATATTTCCTCTTTCCAGTTTTGCTCAGCGAAACAATCCTATCAGATGATAATCTAGAAGATAAGACCCTCAAAATAACAGATTTCGGTCTAGCCCGAGAAGTATACAAGACCACGAGGATGTCGGCGGCCGGGACGTACGCCTGGATGCCACCTGAGGTGAATAAGTAACTATACTTATTAAACATTAACGATTCATGCTAAGGGAAGATATATGTATGTTTATTATACAATGTTGGTGTATCTATAATTTGCTTCCATTACACTTTTGGTTCATAAATAATAATATGTTTTGAAAATATACTTCATTTTTGTGTATTTTTAATGTCTTTTAACTCAGGGCATAGCTTAAAATTCCATCTGTTAGGGTTTTAAAAAGGGAGAAATAAAGTTGATATGTTCATACAATATCAACAAACATGCAACATTAACACTAATCATCTAGTTTTCTTTAGAATAAAATCTATGTATAAATAGGCAAAGATAAAATTCAGTACCTTTTTCTTCTCCATTTTTTTGTTGTTGTTTGTTTATAGCTATTGACGAGCTTATCAATAAAGAGTTTGTAGAAACAGTTAGTTATTTATATAGATATGTAAATTCTATTAATACAAGTTTTCCTCAAATGTTCAATCATGGTTATGGTCAAATTTCGTCTACTAGGTGAACACTAGTATAATTTATGTAATATCCATAGCAACAATCGACATTTATATATATATATATATATATATATATATATATAATAAGAAAAATATGCAAATTTGAAGCAACTACATAGCTATAATATTGTTAATATAATCGTGAAGAAAATTATAGAACCTTGAAGTTGTACGTATTCACTTCGTGTTTATCCAGTTAGAAACGACAGCATTGACTTTGAAATGCATTACGATGAAAGCGTTAAGTAATATCTTATAATATTAAATGAGCAATTTTTGTATTTATTTCGTGTATCTCGGGAACGACTCCAATGATTTGGATAAAAAATTTTATTTAGAAGTTTTTCTTTTTAAGTTTACCTAGACAGGTGTATTTTCTGGGAAAAAAACCACGCGTTTTTAATATCTTTTGCGAAAAACGTCGGATGAAGCTTAGTCGCATATTTATTTAACGACTAGCATTTCCCGCGGCACTGCCCGCGTTCAGATGACCAAAAAAAAATTCTTAGGTTTTACATTACAATACTCTTAAATTGCAGTTTTTGTATTTTTTCTCAAAAATGAGATATTTTCCCGCGGTAAAAAGTATCCTATATGTTGACCCGGATAAACAGCTATCACCATACCAAATTTCATCAAAATCCCTCCAGTAGTTTTTCTGTGATGCGGTAACAGACAGACAAAAAATCTAAAAACTATATAAGATTTTCCAAAAAATATTTAATGTACAGATACGACTTAGAATTTTAATATATGTATAGATAACAATGTAAAGTATATTGTAAATAATATATTTCTTGTATTTTGATGGTAATATTTTAGCTTTTTATATACATACAAAGTTTATAGAGTGACTTGTAAAAGTTATGTAATTATTCACATAATCATGTGGCCACTACAGCATTTAAGTGTTTAATTTACATATCAAATTAAAAGTGTTTAAGATACATTTAAAATTTAATTAATAATTTATTAACTCAATATAATTTTCACGAAAGATAACAGAGCTAAATGTTTTTAAAACCTTAATATACCTACATAACTGTAATATGGTGGATTCCCAATCATTAAATTTTAAATAGAAAACAATAATTTCAACGGCAATTAACAACAATCTTACTACTACTAATATACTATCAAAAACTAATACTAATACTACCAAAACTAATAATAATACTATCGAAATGCGAAAGCTTATATGTGTGTGCGTGTATGTTTGTTAGTCATTAATGCTAAAAGGGCTGAACGGATTTGGATGAAAAGTACACAAATAGACTATGACCTTTTTTTAATGTTGGGAAATGCATTTACGCATACCACCTGCATACATACAGTTGGTTATGTGGTACTCACCGGCCATTAAAGCCAGTACTACCCACTAAAACCCAACAGAACTTCCCCCTGTCTTAATGGAGCATCACAAGATCGCTTACGCACACAACCAAGATGCGACGGCAGATCTGCCAAAGCAGACCACAACAACCATGGTGTTGCTCCAACAGTCTACTCTGCTATCGGTGAACGCACATTGGGGAGGAGATAGACTATAACCTGGAGTAACACCTAGGCTACTATTAGGCATTTAGGCACCCGAGCAAAGTGAGGGTAAATCGCTAATAATTATTATATGTTGTTATAGGTAATTAAAAATTCGACATTCTCACACGCGTCAGATGTGTGGTCCTATGGTGTTCTGCTATGGGAACTTCTGACCGGCGAGACGCCGTACAAAGGGATAGACGCGTTGGCCGTAGCGTATGGTGTCGCTGTGAACAAGCTCACGCTGCCCATACCCAGCACTTGTCCCGAGTCTTGGAGAGTTCTCATGGAAGGTAGGAATGATGATATTTTTCATTTATTTATTTAGGTTTACCAGATGTTATGTCATATTTTACAACAGCTCAGTATAACAGAAACAAAAATGGAGCACAATTCTGCACAACCACAGCTTTAAAGCAAATAACATGCTCCAAAAGTTGGCTTGTTAACATAATTATTAATATTAATAGTTTCATTTTTAACTGCCTTGGTGGTGTAGTGGTTAACCATGACAGGAAAAGAAAGTGCACTTGTGCTCTATAATATCTCCTAATACTATACGCACTATAATATATGATATTTGCCACCATGGCCGATATCAGTCAGGAAGATATTTCACAAGCCTTATTTAGAAATAGTAAAAAATTTAATCTGTTGGAACTTGTCAGTTTTGTATAACATAATATATTTCAGTAGGTGCATTGTTAATAATTAATATATTATGATTTTAAATATGATAATAGCACATATTACCTATTATAAATACCCAAGTATGTTTGTTGACTTGGTAATTGTATGTACATATAAATACATACGAGTACATATGTAATTCCGTTGAATAAAATTATAAAAAAGGAGTTATATTTATTATCTGTCAGTAAATTAAGGTTTTAAAATATTACAAAAACTAATCTAAGTATGATGATGATGATGTTCTCCTGACCGATTCCGGCCACGGCGGCCAATCTCATTGAGACTAGCCAACTGCGCAGGAGATATTATAGTGCACAAGTGTACGCGCAGACACAAGTGCACTCTCTATTCCTGTCACTCTCATACTCCGGTGGGACGACTGCTCGACACGACCAGTGAGAGGTAAGGCGCAGGACCGACGGCTTTACGTGCTCTCCGAGGCACGGGGGTGAAACACCGCCAACTTCCCAACTCCGGGCTGCTACTGAGGCTTTCTACACAGAAAGACTCAATAACTAAACTTGGCCCGACCCGGGACTCGAACCCAGGACCTCCGGGTGTGCAGCCGTACATGCTAGCCACTACACCACCGAGGCTATCTAAGTATATACTATAGACTTCATACCATCTTAAATTCCTAACGTTGCTCCAGCGTGCTGGCGTTCCAATCCCCGCGAACGTCCACATTTCCGCGACATACTAGAGAAGTTAGAGCGTATCAGACAATCTGAGTTCACTCGAGCGCCCCATGAATCGTTTCATACGATGCAAGACGGGTGGAGGCTCGAAATTGAAGAGGTTTTACGAGATCTCAGAAGAAAAGAGAAGGTAAGTCTTTTACTGCCTTTAACTGTTTCCAAATTGGTCTTTAATTGTTATAAAATTGGATTTTCGATATAAATTCGGGATTTGTAGATCTCATTTTCGATAAAGTTCATTAGATTTTATGTGATATACATATTTAACTTTGAACATACATACATATGTATCAATATCCGAAGTATAAACATTAGTTTGCCAAATATTTCCATATATAATTTTAAAGCAAGTTCTCGCTAAATAGAATATTATATGTTAGGAGTGCTGATGTGAAAATATTATGATTTGTGCGTGTTATTAATGTGAGCCTGTTTTCCCTTGTACGCTCGCAGGAATGCAAAACTATAGAAGAGGTTAGTGCTAATTGTAAACTTGGGTTTTCACCTGTCCTAGTGTTTTGTTTTATGTCACCATTTTTATATATTGATGTATATTTTTTTAGTAATGTTAGTTTATTTTTTATTTATGTTATCTTTGGAGTTGTTAAACTTCGGTTATGGTCTCGTATATACGAGTACATACGTATAGCTGTATAGCTTCAACATCATGAAAACTTTTTTAGATTGAAAAATTTAAATTTTATGCATTTTTTGATTTAGTTTTTCACTTTTAGTATTTTTTTTGAGAATTCTCAACATTTTTATATCGTTTAAAGGAGTTTTGAAACCTATATGTCTGTCTGTCCTTTTGTTTGTTTATTAAAGCTCGAGAACTGCTTGACGGATTTTAATGAGATTTTCTTGTTGCTTCAATCAGTCGATTAGATTTGATACAGCTTGCTTGTCATTCTGTGCTAGGAACACATAAAAATCAGCATGTTTAACGGTTATGAACCAAACAGAAGTATACACACGGGAACCCAAGATAATAAAGACCTAGGTCCTAAAGGTACAGGTAGATAAAAGCATCTAGTTTTCGTTTCCATAAAATGATTGAATTGAATAATTTCCGTTATATACATACATTTTATTAGTCAATTTAGGACTCTTTAAAGTGAATTATATATTATTATTACTTTTTAACGTTTAGTATAGATTTCTCAAAAATAGATATTTTCCCGCGCTAAAAAGTATCCTATATGTTACCCAGCTACCATCTAAAATTCATGAAAATCTGTCCAGTGGTTTTCTCGTGATGCATTGGCAGACAGACGGGCAGACAGACAGCCAAAAATTATAGATTCGGCCTCTGTATCGATAATAATGACTATTACAATAAGGTTTTCTAAAAAATATTTAATGTACAGATTCGAATCAGTTAGAATTTTATTATGTGTATAGATTATGAATATGTAAATATACTAGAGTTTGGATAAGAAATTGTTACGATTTAATATTTAATATTATGTTACAATGTTTTATTTATGTATACAAAATATGTAAATTCCAGGAGTTACGATGCCGCGAAGAAGAATTAACAAGAGCTCAATTACAACAGAGATTAGTGGAAGAGAACCTAGCGCAAAAGGAGAGGGAGTTAGAGATGAGGGAGATAGACTTGGCGGCGAGAGAGTTACATATATTGATCTTTGCGAGCAACATGTCTCACAGTCAACCGCCACAGCCTAATAAAAGAAAAGGTATTTATAAACTTGTTTTATTTCGCAGCTTTGCTCTTCTGTTTGATGTTATTTTTGTAGTATATAAATTGATCGAACCTACTATTATAAATATAAAAGTTTTTATGTATGTGTATGTTTGTTACGCTGAAACGGCTTGACGGTTTTAATGAGGGATGAGTATACAGATAGACTATGAGTGAGTAGTATATATACTTATATAAGCTACTGCTCGGCGCCTAGGGACCTCTAAGTTGCTAATTAAATATTACTAGTATTCTATTTGTATATTTTTTTTAGCTTGAAGCAGTCGTAGCCCAGTAGTAACGCTCTTGCTAGGGAAACCGATTGAAGCGGGTTCAAATCCCCCTCACCTCTGATAATTGCGTGTGCGAATCATTTCCAGCATGATTATAACTTGTTTTACGGTAAAGGAAAATGTAAGGAAACTTGCATCTCTGAGAGTACCTAGCTAGTTTTCGAAAGACATGCGAAGTCTGCAAACCGGCATTTGGATGGCCAACGTGGTAGACTACTGCATGATCTCCCTCGTATTAAGGCCCGTGCCCAGCAGCGGGACGCTAAATAAAGCATTTTCAAAGTCAAACTCAATTCCAATGATATATTTTTAAAGCTATATCCTTTTTCCTAGGCAAATTCAGCAAGATAAAGTTGCTCAAGAAGGACACGATCTCCTCCCCGCTGGACTTCCGGCACACGCTGACGGTGCGCACGTCGGAGGACGAGTGCAGCGTGAAGCAGCTGGTGGCCGTCGCCAAAGACACGCCGCCGGGCTCGCCCGCCATCATGCGGGCAATCGCGCGTGAGTGCTCGCCGAGATATGGTTGCTTTTTTATTTAACGAGTCTGCCCACTACACCGTCTCATACCGTGACCGTGCTATGAACGTATCAGGCACTGAAACGGGCATGGCACGGACTACTATGCCAACTAGAACGTATCATACCATACATAATAGTTTTAGATCTGCGTATGCTCCCTATTGCACCGCCTGCGACGGTGCCGGTCGGTGACGAAACGGTCTAGTGGGCAGAGTCTCATACTTTCCAATACAAAGAATATTTTTTTGCCTGACACGGTCTTAGCACGGTCATGGTATAAGACGGTGTAGTGGGCAGACACCTTTATCCGGCTGGAAGGACCATCGAGTGTTTCTGTAATGATTGGTCGAAGGATCGTTGAGTTTGTGCGATGATTGGCTGATTGATTTTTTGTGACTTTTTGTGTAATTGATTTGTGTGCTGAAGGTTATTATACAATTAATGATTTCATAAAAGATGGCACGTCTTGAGAATGAACTGACCGTCTTCAGGCTATTTCATCTTTATGGAAATAAAATTATAATTTAACTTATGAAAAGGATAACGAAATAATATTAGTCCCGCTGAGTTTCTTTCGCCAGTTCTTCTCAGGTCTGAGGCTTCTTCTTTCCGAACTGGTAGTAGACTCATGGCGTTCAGTAACAAAATTATAATAATTAATTTAATGCTGAAAAAAATATGTCGAATTTGACTTGTATGGAATAAATCCGGATGGACGGATCGTTGAGTTTGTGTGATGATTAGTTGGTTGGTTTGGAATTTATCTACATGGATGGAATATATGGATTAGTGGACTGTGCTAGTATTATAAATGCGAAATTTTACTAGCCCGTGAACTGAAAATCAGTGACACAGTAAAAAAACATAGCAACCATCTCTCCCCAGTGCCAGCAGACGGTGTGAAAGGCAAGACGTGGGGCCCCTCCACCGGGCACCAGCGCGCGCGCGCGCACCTGCCGCTGCCGGCGCTGCGCCCGCGCGCGCACCGCCCCTCCACCTCCGCGCCGCACCTGCCGCACGCGCGCCCCGCGCACCCAGGTACCGCACTCCCGCACACCCCCAAACACCCCCACGCATCCCCACAAACACCCCCACATACACCTCCACATACACCACAAACTCCACATAAACATCTCCACGAATTGTTATTGATGGTCCCTAAGTATAAGGGTTTGTGAATGTAAAATTTATTGTATTACTCGTGCAAATTGAATACATGCAAGATGTGATGTTAGAATAGTACTGTTTAGTTAGACATAATGATTTAGTTCGGGGAATAACTATAGCTGGTTCAAGATGGTATGTGGGGATATTTTAGGTCGTTTTAAAATTGGTGTTTGATATTATTGTTGAAGAGATTTTAATTTAATCTCAGAGGTCATGGAATAGAAGTAGTAAATACTATTTTGAGGTTTCATTAAAAATATAGAGGATATATAGGATCCCTTCTCTGTCCGTCTGTATGTCTGTCAAAGCCCTTTTTCTCAGGAACAAGGTACATCCGTTAATGCCGCATATTCAACTCTCAACACTCTCAAGGGAATCAAAACCTATATGATATTTCCCGTTCACCTAAAATCATAAAATTTGGCAAGAAACAGTGTCTCATAACACAAATAAAGAGAATAATTCGAAAACGTAAATTTGTACTTAGTTCACAATTTTTTTTTGCAATTATAACATTATTTTATGTTTCATGCTACAGAACCCTCAGTGTGCGAGTCAGACTCGCACTTATCAGATTTTTTATATCTATACTACTTCAGTAAAGTTGAACATTTAGCAGGCGAGAAGTAAATAGAGGAAACTTCTAGAGACCAACGACCGTTGGTTCGAAGCCTCCTAATATTTCTGTTTAATAATAATTATTATAATAAAAGTATTTTTCAAAGTCCTATTTAATAAGTTAGTTCTCTGTTTTTCTTTTTTTTTTAAATATCTTATGCCCGATTTCACTAACAACCCATAAGCTACCACCTACGTATGGGATCCCTAGCTTAAAAGTCCCCTAAACTAGCCCCTAAATTAAATTTCGTTTTACGATCGTCTTTAAGCCCATATTTCGAGCACCTAAATTTAGGGGGCCTTTTAATATTTAGGTGCCCCTAACTGTCGGTGAAACAGAAACTGTCCCCTAACACCCCCCTAACCATGCTTAGGGGATCGCTTAAACTTAGGTGACGTTGGTGAAATTGGGCATTAATGTCACAAATTAGCAAGTTAGTGAATGATTGAATGTGTATGTTACTACTCTGTAACGATTTACATTGGTTCTCAATAAGCTATCTATCAGTAGTTTTCGTAGTAACGAAGTCTTAGTTCTAGTAAAAGATAGAAATTTTCCATAAGCTTCATACAAATTATGTCAGATTTATATCGCTAGTAAGGTACAAGCACAGCCAGATCGTTTATTGGGATTTCCGTTAAAGGTTTTGAGTGAAATTCGGAATTTACTAAACGAAATATAGAAGCTCTAAGCTCCTTTTGTATCCGTAACCCAGTCAAGGTCAATAGAGTTGCCTTATTTGTCTAGTACATAGCTATGTACAGCTGCAGATTCGGATGTCCTGGGTTCGAGTCTCGAGTGTGCTTATTTACTCGGGGACCATCATATTCATACATACAACAGACCTATACATCTATCCTTATATATAACATTCTTTTTTGTTGTCAATAATTATAAAAATATAATAACTCTGTCACTTAATTATATATCTTATGAATTGAGGTAACTCTATACTTTGTAAGGAGGAGACTCTATACTTTATAAGGAGTTCAATTAAATAATATATTAATCAAATATTTTTAACATATTAAATCATTACATTAACTTTTTTTTATAATTAATCACACACAGAAACGGTTCCATGCTAACACAAAGTCATTTACAATTTTACAAAATACATAATATATTTTAGTGAATTCCTACTTTAATACTTGAATTATTGATTATCTACACATAACTCAATTTCAATGAACAATTTTTTTATACCATTTTCTCGATTTTTTTAAATTTTAATAAGTATATACAGCTATGAAAATTTAGTAATAAATTCTTTCAGTCATTTCGTCACATATTATACAAAAAATGTCAAAATTTAAATGCCTTATTGAATTTAAGCGTTATTTTCGTTGAGTATAATGATGTTATATTGATATATCGTCGCCTTCGTGCTTATTTGTTGTTGAATTTTATTATTATTATATTATTTAATTTAAAAACTAAAGCTTTACGAGTATTTCTAAGATTCATTTACAAATATAGATAAAATACATTTTTTCGGTTTTACTAAAGTAAAATATGTATTTAATACCGATATAATTGACATTTAAAAGTCAATAATTCCATATTAAAAACTCTTTTGATAAATTGGTCGTTTAGACATATAAGGGCTGCGACGGCGATATATTGTCTTCTCTATAGTTAAAAATATAAACGAAATTAATTAATAGTTATGCGGATTTTGTTCAAAATTTCATGTGTTTTAATTTTTTTTGCGCGGAACACTGATTCTTTTTCTAAAATAAAAGTAGCCTATGTTACTCCTTATAACATCAGCTATCAGCAAATGAAAGTCCCGTTAAAATCAATCCCGCCGTTTCGGAGATTAGCTGGAACAAATAGACAGATGACAGATAGGCAGATAGACAGATGGACAAAAATTTTAAAAATGTTGTTTTTTTTTCTTATAAGTACCTTATATACTTTCATACGCATTTAGTAAAAAGCTGTTATTTTGATATAACAAAGAGACACTTCAATTTTATTTATCTGTATAGATGAATTAAATAAATAACATTTCGTTTATATTTGGATATATTTCTGTTGTTTTAGAAATAAGTGATGGTAAATAATCATAATAATAAATGTCTCTGATAGAATTAGACAATTCTTATTTAAAACATATATTTTTACTTTCTTAGATTTATATTTTTTATATTATATTTTTGAATCATGTTGTGGATAGTGACCATAATGAACATAAGTTTTTTTATGTATTACTAATATATAATAATAAGTTTTGTTTTAACTATATATTATTAATTAATAATAGAAATAATAATAAGTATTTGAATTCATAAAGCTCAATATAATTAAAACAAGACCAAAAAACCGTTTATAAAACAAACAAAATAACCGAAAACCGCGCGCAGGGGTGTCACTAAACGCAAGCGACGAACCGAAACGTAAACCGCGCAAATCGAAATCCCAAGTCCGAACGCCGAAATCCGAAATCGCGAAAAAGCGAAGTGGCAGCCATGACGACCTCCTCGACGCGACCGAGCCCCGGCGCAACCGATTCCTGCTCTGCCCCATGTTCAGTTCGGATAACCCCCAACACCCTCAAGACCCCCAGAAACAGACCCACCACTACGATACGGTGTTCGATTCACCCCCCGGATCTAAAACGGATGTTAAGAGGAATTTTCTCAAAAGTATCCGATCGAACAGTCTTGCGGGCTTGTTGGCTGTCGCTGGTGGTCTCTCGTCAGACACAACGCAGTTGCTCAGGGATGACTAATGTCGCGTTATTTGAGGTTGTTAATGCGAGTGGCCTAAGTCAAGTTTTTTTTTGTTGGTTATATATATTTTTATATAAATTTATCATTTTTTTATATTTTTCCGTCAAGGCTATTGATGTGTAATTGTAATTTTTGATCTTTTTTATTGTTTTTGTTTTTTTTTGTGTTAGTTTTTTTACCGTAACATTGATTATGCCTTTGGCCACTTATGTAATAACAACTTCAATTGTCACCTGAACGAGATAGAGAAATCAGTAAAATATAAATCCTTTTTTTTTTCATTTTCGAAACGATGTCGGGAGTACGATTTTCGTAATGCCATGTTGATACATATCATGATAGTAACATTCCTCGCGAAATGCATTTTTTTATTATTTTATTCTTTTTTTTCGGTTTAAAATTGAATTGAAAAACAAAAATTAATACATAGTTTCTGTTTTTTTTTACAAAATCGACAATACTCGTCCCTAAGCATTATGTTTAATATGTAAATAGGTTATATAAAGTTCCATGGATTTGATCTTAGTGTCATAAGTTAGTTGGTAAGAGTAAAAAATAAATAAAAAAGACTTATTTTGTTAGCTTAAGATAGTTAAGGTCAGGACAGTGTTAGAGAAACCAATACTTTATCAATACATAGATTTTGTTTTACATTTAGTATTCAATGAAAATATTTTTAACCCTAATATTCAATATTATAATGAAATAATCCTTTTCTTTTTAATAATGTTCTAATAGTCTAAGATCTCGATCTATGCGGTGAACCTCTAACTCTTTTTTTAAGATGAAATATGTTTTTTAAACTATATAACATATTAACAAACACTACCCAGGGGGTTTTCTTTACCTTCGATTGATACTAAGTTGTCGCAGGAAAAGAGTTTTTTTACTTTAAAAAAAATAATAATTAAAAATAATCTGGAGGTAATTTTTGGTGTCAACCCCCCTGGATTGTTTGTTAATAATAAAATATGTTATATTGTTTAAAAAATATATTTCGCCCGAAAAAACAGTGACGGGTCCACCAAATAGATCGGGATCCCCTACTATAATGAATTTACTATATTTTACTCCAGTTTTAAATCATTTATGACGCATTTATCTCATTAGATTTTAAATTTTGCTAAGGTTTAGTATTGTTGGAATTAAATATTTGTAAGTAGTCTATAGGTATTTGTGTTCATATTTTGATTCGATTGTTAGTCTATATAGAATGTGTTAGTTGGTAAGACAGTTCCGGCAAGAGTTGACTTCAATATGAGACTTTAGATACTTTCGATTTTCTTTTAAAAGACTTTCAAAACTTATTATTTTTTGTACGACTGACAACATCTTGCCAATAAATGAAAATGTATATCAATTTTCAATGAATAATATTAGAAAATTAAAAAAAAAATAACAAAAAAAAGTAATGAATGCTCTTATTTATACTTTTGCAATGTTTCATATATTATTATATGGTTGGAAGTTCTAATTTTATTGTTTCGTTTTCTTGCTGCACTAAAGGAACGTCTCAAGACAATCTGCCATACCCTTGTAAGTACTATTTTGTGTCGTTCTTTAGTTACTCCCTTTTTGTTGTGTGGCTACAATTCTATTTTTAATTTATATTTTATATATCTTATATGCATATGTATTTATGAAATTGTTTTGCAGAAACAGCTCTGATCAAGTTTTCCGTTTTTTTTTTTAATTTTTGTTGTTTTTTTTAATTTAAATTGCAAAAATTCTACAAAAAAACAACTTTTAATGTTTTAAATTTTTTTTATTAAAAAAAATATATATTGAAATTTTTTACACACAATAATCTGTCAGAGCTTTTTTTATATTAAAAATAATTTATATATGTTTTAAATATGGCAATGTCACAAACAGTCTAAATTAAATATGTATGTGGCAGATTTTATACGAATCTATGGTAAATATAGGTAATTATTATAATTAAATATTAGTATAAATTTAGTATGACATAGGATGATTGTGTGATACTCGAATTTGTCTTGTATTTGTGCGTTTTGTATAGATTCGGTTGTTTTTGACGTATTTTTTTATTATTTTGTATTTTTTATGTATACGTTTGACATTTTATTTTTTTTTTTCATTTCTTTTGTAAATTGTAAGCATTTGTTTGCTTTCAAGCCTGTTTTTTACGAATATTTAGTTAAGTGCTATGCATGCTTCTCAGTTCATAGATACGCTATAATCGAAACGGTTTCAAATGATATTATTATATATGTATTTTTCGTACTTACTTATTCGTTAGTTCGTATGATAATTTTGCTTCGTATTCACCATGTCATATGGCACGCTTTCAAATGTTTACAATACAACAACTACATACATGGAAGTCTATACGATGACTCCATTCGAATTGACTTTGACAATTTTGAACTTCAATATTTTAAATATCGTGTAGGCTTCTAATACCGGATTTATAGCTAGTAAAATGTTTATAATAGTACAAATAAAATATCTCACTATATACGTCAGTTATGTGCGTGGTGGTGGATCGCGAGAGACTCAGATGTTAAATAATGGCCAAAACAACGAACCGACGTTACAGTTACGATACAAACTTTATGGTGATCTGGTTCTCTTTAGTTATTATAATTAGTATTTTTTTATATATCAAATAAAACCTTTTCCATAAAATCGACGCTGGTGTATTCTTTTAACATGGGTCTACTAATACTAGCTACTAACTACCCCCATAACATTTGAATTAAAACGTCATAGTGACAAACGATACAGATTAAAAATTAAAAAAATATCCGGTGAAGGGCGAGAGAGGAAGCTAAGAAGCTTGCGCTTTTCTCACTCCGGCTATTCTAATGGGGGAGGCGAAAAATGAAGATTTTTCCAAAATAACGTTAACATTTAACACAGCAGTTATAAGTGCCATGATGTTTATTTGCACATGTAAGTATAGTTTTGTTTATTTATGTCAGCTTTTTATGTTGCTTTATATATTTTTAGTATGAACTGTTTGGCATGCGTAGACCGTGTAGCACCGTAGAGGTTGTACACTAGAGTTTTTATTAATGTATCTGTCTCTGTCTAACAAATACTATAAAATAAATACAGAGTTATAGACATTTCTTTTTTTCTGTTTTTTTTTAAGTGAAACTTCTTTAGGCGCGCCATGAGAGTGGAAAAAAGGATTAGCGTTACGATTTTTGTAACGGACTCAGTTATGCTGGGCCGTTACGTTACAATAACAATATTTCGCATAACTTATAAATAGTCGTTTAAAATTATTTAAACTATTATATGATTAATAAAATAAATAGTGATATTTATAAAAAAAAAATAAGCGATGGGATCATATGAAATGGATATTGTCAAAAAATTATTTACTTAAAATATTTTTTATATGTTATAAATATATTTTTTCACTAAAAAAATTTGAATTCCTGCATTTCTATTTATTTTATTGGACTGTATAATAAATTGAATCATTACAATATTTGATTGAAAATTAAATTTCATCCTTAACTTCATCCATTTGAATAATCATTTTTTTTCCTTTTTAAATAAAAAATATTTTTTTAGTATCTCTATCCTAATTATTTAAAACATAAATTGAATTTCATAAAGAGTACCGATAACCGACAGAAGTTTCACTTCTTGTGCGTGTACACATTCATACACGCGCTCTTTTTTTAATTATTAAATATTGCCTGCTATATGTACTCTAGTAAACAATCTCTTTGCCTAGATCACACTGCATGTGAATATTGACACGTAGCTCTGTTATGTTTATGTATGTTTAACATTTTGTTATTATTTTATCTTATATGTATATTTCTTTCTCTTTCTACCATTACACAAGTGTTATCTTGTTAATAAATATCAAATGAAATCATTGTCACAAATTTATGTTAATATCGAAATTTGTAATTGTTGTCGAAAAAAATCAATTGGGATCGAGTCAACAATGCTTTAATCGAAAAAAATCGATATCTTAGATATACTTAATTTGATTTGTAATTGTAAAGAAGAACTTTACATCTAATACTCATTTGTATTGGCGGTAATTAGTATCTTACTGGCTGTTTTCGGAACTGACAACATTACAGTTATACTTTCTTAAAAGCTTTCGTTGCTTTATTGTTTATGGATGCTTAATTTATACTTTTATAAAAAATATACATAGACTAAATACTAAACAGAGACTTTAACGGTCGAAGGTAGTTCCGAGATTTGCCGCTAGGGACCGCTTACCGCCAATAGGTTGAAGTTGTTACATTTTTGTATGTATATTTTGATATTACAGGTTTTTACATTATCACCAAAACTAATGTTTGACTCGTGAATTTTCGTCTATCAATTCAAAATTTTTTGTTATTTTTCTCAAATACACGACTCAAACTCGCTTTTTATTTTATTTTTTTACGAGAATATAATTTTTGCTTTATCTCTCAATGTTTGTGATCACATGCTCGGGTAGCACGCACTAGCTATAACTAATCTATGTTTTCCATTTACATAGGTTGTTTTCTTCCTTACACAGACTTCAGTCCAGACGACTGGGGGCCGGAGTTCCCTCTGAGCACGTCCTCCAGATATACAATACCAATGCCGACTCTCTACAGCACTGAAGGTAAGATTATAATATAGTTAATTTATAGATAAAATATTTTTTTTGTTGTTTTTTGATTTACAATATGTGTGTATATGTATGTGTTGGTTTTTTTGGTCGTCATTTTTGAGAGAACTTGTAATGTTTTTTTTTGAGTTCTTACTAAAAGTTACATAATAGCTGCTATAAAATAGCAAGAGATCAGTCAGTAATTATTTTTTATTATTTATTTTATTTATAAATTATAATATGGAATAAGCATTTCTTGTATAATATATATAAATTAATTTCTTATATCTCGGGAACGATTTAATTATATTTTGTATTTAAATAAGGTTTTGCTTTTTTGATTTATCTATATTCGTGCCTTTTCTGAAAAAAAAATACAATTTTTTCACAAATAAAAATATTTTTATAACTATTAGAGCCTCTTTTTCTATCTGCTTTCTTGCTGACAATATCTTATAGCGCCATCTCGTAACTGTCTATGGTACTAGCATTGTCACCAATGAATGATAACCTACTGAATGAGCGTATACGCCGAGAGAAATTCGGTCGCCCAGGTACACATTAAAATACAATATAGATCGATGGTTTATACATTGTAACTTAGATTGCTCCTCCAGAAAATAATATTTCATTTAGATTTTTGAAAATAAATTTGCGTATGAAATTGTTTTGTTTTTATCTTGTATGATAATATAATTAAATTTTCTTTATTGAGCCTTGCATTACGTACGCATTTTTTTAAGGATTTCAGATACTCTTCTCCCCTGTATAAGCAAAAATGAGAAAATTACAATATTATATATTAAAATATTAATACATATTATACTATTACACTCTTATAATTATATTAGTGTATTCTTACTTAATTGTAATTCATATTCAACAACTTTTATATAACTATAATAATAAATGTAATATATAACACGTGTATTTCAGGTTACAAATTCAAAAAACCGAGTATAATAGAACTGGTGTTATACAACATGGCGGCGCTGTTAGGTGGAGTGGCGGCCGGGTATGACGTCAGAGTGTCGAATGTTAGCCCTCTGCATCCCACCTTACAGCCGCATAGGTGAGGAAATTATATACTGCGAGTATGCCTTAGTGTTACTCCAGGTGATATTTTCATATACGAATCATTTCCAACATGATTACCGTTTGTTTTTCTTACGGTGAAGGGAAAACATCGTGAGGAAACATGCATGTATGATAGAAACTAGCAAGTTGGCCGGCGTGGTGAACTATGCCCTGGAATTAAAAGGAAGTCCGCGCCCAGCTGTAGGACGTTTAAAAGGGTTAAATATATACATAATATATATAAATACACATACATATACATAATATATATACACATTTTTTTTTATTATATTTAATAGTCATAGTCAGAGTGAATATTATTTTATACTAACTAGGCCAACTATTTTCCTGACCAAATTATAATCAATTTACTTGTGTACTTTGAGTTATATTTTCGAATTTTTATCCCTAATGGTCATATTCGGACTATTACAAATATGTTTTCAAATGATGAGCCTACAAATAAACGGTATTTCATTTTATTTATATAATAAGCATTTTAAACTATACGAACGTTATATATTAAATAATTAAATAAAAATAATTTCAGGCCAGAATTAGAAACCGAAGTGATAGCGCCATCTATATACGAGGGGTACGGCTTTGCGCACAACACGTACCACGGACCGACCAGGCACCTGAGAGCACCCCTCAACGCTATTACTGGATCCCCCGTGAGTATTGAATAAGAGGTTTAGGGCAAGGCTAAAGGGGAGGATATAACCATTGTGCGTAGTGGTTTAAAGTAGGAGTTATTATTTCCAAGTTGGATCCCCAGTGAATATGAAATGAAGGGCTTAGAAGAGAAATAGAGGGAAAAAGGGTACACTAGTAGGTGTAATGGTCTAAAGTATTGATAGTAGTTATTGTGTTGTAAATATTATTATAATTATTATACTAGATTTTGTCCTCAAAACTAATCCAATCGTTTTTATATATCTATGATTTTTTGTTAACTACTATTTAAATCTTGAGACCATCAATTACTTGTAACTTTATTATATTATGAAAAAAATAATACATTTTGAAACTCTATATTTTGTAACTAAATTGTAACATTGTAATTTATTATCTTCAGATATCAAGTCTCCAAACTGATGAACAGAAACCAATCCGGTTCACAGACTCCCCCACGCACTACGCACACCCATCCTCCTCATCCGGCTACGGCCACTCGGCGCAGCCACTATCCGGCACTTCGGGACTGGGAACTAACTACACATCCACCCAACCTACCCCATCACCACGACGAACATCATCCACCACATCTGACCATCTAGCCGACTTGTACCACAATTACAGAGAAAACTTCCAACCATCGTCATCCCAAGACAGAATACACCAAGATTTCTACTATCGAAATGAACCGTACACCTTCGAAAGGACGGCAGATTATGTAGTAAAACACCCCTACTACGGTTACGACGAGTGCTCGTTTGACTATAGAGAACCGTCAGAATTCAGACAATACCATCGACGGACGCCATCGAATTCATCAGCAACTAACTCCCATCATGAAGAGTTCTCGCCATCGAGACAGTATAGGGAAAAGTTTCCCAACAGACCGGAAGTAAGGAAAGAGTATCCCCGGAAAACAAACGATTATTCCCTCCCGCGAGATTACTATCAAGAAGATTCAGAGCGAGCCAACTTGGGTCTAGAATTAGGACCGACGAAACTAAGATCTAGTTTGAAGAAATACAAGAAGAATGCCTCAGGAGCGAGCACCCCAACGAACCCCACACCACCTGATAGTTTGAGTGAGACGGACAGTTCGTATGTTTCGGCTCGGGATGCGTCCAGTGGGTCGGCTCGTGTCCGCTTCAGTCCTGAGGCGATAGCGGATAGAAAGAAACATACGTAGCGAAGGCTCAAGAAGTTCGACGACTACCTCGTCTGACTGGCGCCCTGGTAGCTCGACGAACTGTCTTGAGATTTGTTTAGCGTTTTATTTGTTGTCTGTGCTATCTGTGTCTATGGTGTGGTGTTGTCAGGTGATATGTTTACTTTTTTATTAAAAAGAAATAAAATTAGGATGATTCACTACCTCGTGGAGTTATGTTGATTTTTTTAAATTAATTTTATCTACTTTTTTATTCATTTATTTTATTACTATTAAAAATAGAGAACACGTAAATGTTAAAGTTTGATTTGCCTAAGAAGGTTTATGAAGTTGGACGACTACCTCGCCCCTTTGGCGACTAAAGCATTTCTGTTCGTAGATCAACATTAAAAAATACAGGTACAGGTTACAGGATTGACTTACGACAACCTACTTTTTTGTTTTATCATCTTTATACTAGAATTATAAAATGACCTACATATTTATATAATTTTTTTATATGATTTAAAGTGTCATTATTTTTTTTAAATAAACACTCACCTGGCAACACTAAATTACCACAAATGAGCTTGTATAGCTTTAATGTGATGACGATTGACTTGACTATAATATTACGGAAACGATAATGCTCTGTTATGATTTGTACTGTCATAGTGTAATGTTACATAGCTATATAAAATAGAAAATGAACTGTGAGAAATTAATACTTCCTTAGATTTAGCCGAATATTTGACTTTTTGAATTAAACTATCTTTTCGGATTTTTGTCATTGTGTAATTATTTTCTTTAAGAGGTCTAAAAAACCCCCGTGACCATGATTGCTATAAAGCATTCGAAACGACGGGAACCAAAAATCAAAATGAATCCACGGAAAAATCCGAAAAGATAAGTTTTATTTGAAAAGTGAAAAATTAATATGTTTTATCATTTTAGAACTAGCCATTGAAAATTAATATAATAATATTTATTTAATAAATAAAATGTTTCTCATATTTTTATGTAACAATGTACTATGATAATAACAAAATCCTTAACAAAATTATCTTTTTACATATAAGACCAAAAACAAGGACTTGTGATGAAGATTATTCATTTGAAATATTACATAATTTCTCTTTATCTACTTAATGTTGTAAGTATGGAATTGTGTTCATATCTACGTAGGTCTTTATTATACGCTTGTGTCGATATTTTAGTATATGTATATAAAATGTGTAGAGAGTGTCTGTATGTTGGTAATGATGTATGCTGATTTGGGTGTTCAACTCGAAATTGCTGTACGAATTTTAATTCGATTTTTAGTATTGTATTGTATAATGAAACGTAATTAGGTTACGTATGTATTGGAAGGTTATATGTATGTATATATTTATCCAACATTGTGTTAGATGTTATGGTGAAAGTCGCAGGCAATTATTATATTTTATTATACATTCTTAGTTATACAGAATGGTGGGTTTCTATTACTTTTATAAAGTTAATAAATTAAAAGATTTTTTGTATACTGTGAGTTTTAATATCGATATTATTAAACTTTGTTTTATTATTAATGGTTTCATATCAATATCTCGACTCACCATTCTTCATATTAAATCGATTTCTTCTTAGTTATAATTACAGAGCAAAACGCTTTATCGATATCGTATTCGATAGTAATCGATATGTACTCAATTTAATATCGACTTTGTCTAATGTTATTGCAGGTTTTGTATCAAGCGAATGTAAATTAAATCTGTAATTTTTGAAATAATAATTGATATGTTATTTTAATATTTTTTTAAAGTTTTTAGTAAAGATAATTGAATATACAAAAAAATCGATAAAAACAATCGATTAGTGTGAATCGTTTGCTACAAAATCTGCTTAATATTTATAATTGGTGACTGTTTTAATAGTCCGTGCAAACAAAGAATGGGTTTAGAAATGGCAACCCTTGAGCCTGCACTATCAATATTGTATGATTTAGAAACAAAGATATATTATACTTTAGCCATATTATTTTAATTAATTTAAAAAAAAAAACATAAAATAAAGCAAAGTAATAAATGATATATTATTATATGCAAAATTAAATATTTTAGCGATATTTATCGTTTGATGGCAACTAGAAAAAGTGATATTTTAGAGAAGTAAGAAATTTTTTTGTGACGCCATGATAATCCCATTGTTTATGTGCACGATTTATGTACTATAATAATATATGAGATTATTCAAAGGACAGTGAGGTGCGTCGGCACAAACTGTACAAATGTAAATAGACGAAGCCTGTAAAAGCTTATTATTTAACTGGCATTTATTTTGTAACATCGCAAAATTTAGTCGTTGTGTTTTTTCATTTACATTATGTAACATAGTACAAATATATTATAAGATGTTTGAATAGTGCGGAGTAACTGTGTGTATATTTGGAGTTATAATATATCATGTAAATCTATTATCTGTATGGGTTTTTGTACAAATGATCAAATTATAAGGTATTTTTTACAAAAATATCACTAAATGTAGTAGTAACGTTTACGTATTGCTAGGTCTTTTAGACCCCAACTTGCGTAAACGTTTGTAGGCAGCTTTTATATCCCAGCAGTGGTGAGTAAATTAGGTAAACTTAACTAGTCTGGATTTTACGGATTATTGCATATCCGTGCAGTGGCGTGGGTAGGGTTGGAGTTAACCCTTCATCAATCTTGAGGTAACATTTAATCTCATTCTACAAACATTGAAGGATATTATTGTAATAAGTGACATGTCATGATTGTCACAGAATTTGTTATTTTAATATACTTTTTAAAATTCCATTCCTAAATGATTGTGGATCTTGTTTAAGTTCCCTTTTAATGAAACTCGAATAAATCCTTGTGTAAGTGGGTTTTAAAAGAGACTTTAAAATGACACACGCAAGGCGAACGATATGAATAGTTTTGTCCTTTTTTAGTTTACATGTCACCCGATTGGGTGACACCCTCTCCCTAGCTACGCCACTGTGTCCGTGTAAAACTGATATTGTATTGATATTACGCTTGTGTACAAACAATGGATTCGTGGGCGGCGGCGGGTCGGGGCCTTTTGGACCCCTTTGGAATATTTTACTAAATTGATCTCTTATTATTGTTTTTTGGTTAAATTTAATGGAAATAAACATATTATTATTTATAAAATTGTATTGGCAGTTTACGTAGATATTTTTTGAGATTATGGATTTTAGTGTTCTGGGTCATGAATAGTTTTAAACAGTTTTTTTTTCTTTACTTTATTCGGGGCTCTTAAATTTCTTTATTTTTTTCTTCTCTCACTTTTCTTTGTTCCAATAGTTTAAAAAATCGTTAATTTTACTTATTTCGGTATAGTTAATCAAAAAATACCGTTTGAACTCTCTATTCTACGCGCTTTTATATAAAGCAGGGGCCATATTTTCTGGTTGTGGACTAGATTGAGGTAAGAGGTAGAAATTTCTAGATAAAATAAGATATTTAATTAAAACCCAAGCACCGCCGCCGACCCGCCCGGCACAATCTCCTCGGATTCCTACGAATGTAACGCTTCGAATATCGTGCGCGATCAGAATTAATAATAAGGTGTATATCGAAAATTAATATTAAAATTGGCTTTGATATTATTAGCGAAAACCAGTGCCTAAAGTTTGCTGGAGCGGTTTTAATAGGGTTTGGACTTGAATATAGCGCGTGAATTGCGAAGACAGAGGCCGGCCAGTATACCGCTGTAAAGTTTACGTCACTCCTTTTGTTTATGTTATGTGCAATAATGTAATATTTTTGCGTCCATTTTATTATTTTTTATTTAATTTGTATTGTTTATTATAAAAAAAATCGTCGTGAATCAACAGTATTGTACGCAGTATTTGGACACTTATGTATTTATCTATATATATACATATATATATGTATAGAGTGTCAGTCTGAGTGCCAATTTCCGAACGAATGTTAGTTTTCGTTATAGAATCTCTTTATGTTTTCATGTCACAAATACGTTGATATCGAATTTTCACTGTTAAATACATTCACGGCGCGTTTACTTAAAAATCTAGTCTTGTTTATTTAATGATTTAATCTGGTTCGTGAGAACGGCGAAATTTCGATGTTATATAACGTTTTGGCATTCCATTATTTTGTGTAACATTCCATATGTTGGTGATATTATGCTCAGTTATGCGTAGAGGAAGGATCAGTGTGCCAATGAGGAGGATGCCTTGAGTCTGTACGTTAAACCGACAATTAAAAATTAGATTAAGCTTTTTACTATGTCTTTTATTTATCCCTTTCTATGGTTTTTTTTATTGGATTGTTGGTAATTTAAGTAAAAATGATTTTGGGGTACAAAATTTTTAAAACGCTGGTTTAGTATTCACTTTCTAGTCTATACTTATAATAAATAAAAATATGTTGGGACATTAACACACACCACCATCTTCAGTTCCATGGTAAGCTACGAGGCCTGTGTCATGGATACACTACACATATATGTATAACTTTAAATACATAATACATACTATTATAAATATGAACACCCATGACTACAAACATTCGTGCTCAGCACACAAATGAATACCGCCAGCGGGCTCGAATCCACGACCGCTGGCACAGTAGGGTTACTAGAAACGGCCTAACGTGTCGTCAAATAATACAATTCTAACTAAGCCGAATCTGTACATTCTATAGAAATATGTAGATTTATCTTATTGAAATAGACATTATTATCGACAGGCGACATTACAGAGGCTGAATCTATAGTGTTTAGAATTCTTGTCTGTCTGTCTGTTACCACATCACAGAAAAACCACTAGAGGGATTTTGATACAATTTGGTATGGTGATAGGTGGTTATCCGGGTCAACATATAGGATACTGTTTACTGCGGGAAAATATCTCATCTCGGAGCTAAACATTAAAAAGTAAATTTTATATAAAGTTAAAAATTATAGTTTCAATATAATGTTAAAAGTATGTAAAAATGACTTCTAAGATTTGATTAATTAATTGAAATTAAAAAATATAAAACATATCG